AGTTAGGATTGAGATTTCGAATCTAAATGATGTAGCAAGTACATCTAAGGTACACTTAAAGCGTGGCCGACCTAAGGGATCAAAAGACAAAAATCCCCGAAAAAAGAAAGGAAATAGAAAAGGTGAGTTTGATTGAAAAGTATGCTCTTGAAGAAGCACAATATGATGATAATGAGATCATTGATAATAAAAATGAAAACAAGAATGATCTCGATATTTCAATTAATTATGTTAATATAGGATATTTATTGAACCAAAAAGGTATGAATATTGATGAGATATTTTCATTCTCAGTTGCATGTGAAATTATGAATAAAAATGACGATCCTGAATCCTGATCTATGAATGAATGTCAAAATAGACATGATTGAAAAAATTGGAAGGATGATATAGATACCGATTTAAATTCTCTTCATAATCAAAAAGTATTCCACCCTATTGTGGTTATACCTAAAGGTGTGAAACCTGTTGGGTATAAGTGGGTTTTAGTAAGAAAACAAAATGATAAAAATGAGATTGTCAAATACAAAGCTCGTCTTGTTGCACAAGGTATTTACCAAAGACCAGAGACCGATTATGAGGTAACATATTCTCCTGTTATGGATGCCATTACTTTTAGTTATTTAATTGGTTTATCAATATTTAATAATCTTGATATGTACCTTATGTATATTGTTACTGCTTATTTATATGGATCACTTGATAATGATATATACATGAAAATCCCATAAGGATTTAAGATACCTGGGACATCAAAGTCGAAAGAAATTTATGCAATTAAATTGCAAAGATCATTGTATGTGCTAAAACAATCAGGGTGCATGTGGTATAATAAACTAAATAAATATTTACTTAAAGAAGGCTATGACAATAATCCTATTTGCCTTTGTATTTTTATAAGAAAAACAAAATCAAGTTTTATAATAATTATTATTTATGTTGATGATTTAAATATCATTGTGACTAATAAACAGATCGGAGAAGCGGTAAATTATTTAAAGAAATAATTTGAAATGAAAGATCTGAGAAAAAAATAGATTCTACCTTGATTTACAAATTGAGTATACTAAAAATGGTATATTGATACATCAGTCAAATTATACAAAAAGAGTATTGAAAAGGTTCAACATGAACAAGCCAAACCCTTTGAGTAGTTCAATAATGAGAAGAACGCTTAATATTGAAAAGGATCATTTTAGGCCTAAGGAAATTAATGAAGAGGATCTTGGTACAAAAGTACCATACCTCAGTACCATTTGGGAACTCATGTACCTTGCCAACTATACAAGACCTGATATAGCTTTTGCAGTAAACTTACTAGCAAGATTCAGAACATGTCTTACAAAGAGACATTGGAAAGGAATAAAATAGATATTTCAATAAGACCTGAATTTTTTTCTTATAAGGTTTTTAATGAGACAATATGTTCCCATAAGATTCTACTCAATAAGACATCAATAGAGCACCATAATAGAAATTTCAAAGGAAGAGTGTTATAATAATTATGATTATTATTATTATTATTATTATTATTATTATTATTATTATTATTATTATTATTATTATTATTATTATTATTATTATTATTATTATTATTATTATTATTATTATTATTATTAGTTAAAAATATCCATCTAAATAGTCAAACTTAGAATAGTAATGACAAATTATTGGTGATGTATAATTTGTCAAAGATAGAATAGCAATACCAATCATTCACTTAGTAAAATAGTAATATTTTTACTAGTATAAATACCTCCATTTAGAAAATGTTAGGGGTGTTCGTGGATCGGATTGGTTCGATTTTGAGAGAATCCGATACCTAAACTGATAAAAAATATGGATTGATTTGAATTGAATTTTCATATTTTTTCGATAAAATGCAAATCAAACCAAATCAAGAAATAACAGTTTGGTTTGGGTTGGATTTATTGGATACATTAGAAACAAATGTGCACAAATACTTTAAAAAAATATCTAATTTACATCAACTAATTTTTCATAATAATATAATTTTTAAATATTTTTCGCTTCTCCATATAGATTGCGAATGTCACAAATGGTGTTTCATTTTGTTTCTTCTTAAAGTTGAATATTTTATACTAATTTCTATAATATGAAGTAATATAGTCGATTTGAGTAGTGTAACACGCCGTTTTTATCTAAATGTTATTTCATTAATTATTTTCCAAAACTATTAAGTTATATCTATTTTGAGAAATATATTCAATTGATATCAATTAAAATATTAATTGGGTAATATGAAATAAAAATATTTATTGTGTCGGAATATTATTTTGAATAATATTAATTTGGTGTGTAGTAATATTTGACTTTGTTTGATTAATTGGCATGATTAGGTTTATATAGAATAAGAATTATTTAGTGTAATATTGTTTAATAGGGTTATATATTATAATTTGAATTAAATAATTGTTGGGGCCAAATTATAATTTTAGAAAGATAGAGGGAGGAAAGTTAGTAGTAGAAGAATAGTTTTATAAAATAGAAAAGGAGAGTTAGTAAGAGTAGGAGAAGAAGAAAAGAAGAGAGGAGAAAGAAGAAAGAAAGGAGGAGAAGAGAAGAAAGGAAGCTAGGGTGGAGTTGCAACATCTTCATCATCTTGTTTCAAGAAAACCCACACCAAGGTAAGGGGTTTGATTCTCCATCTCATATTTGTTAGGTTTTGATAAATATATTTTGAATTGGGGGTAAAAATTGATAGTTGATTTATAGGGTTTTTGTTGGGTGATTGTTGGAATGGTTTAGAAAAGTTGGATTAAGAGTATGGTTTGTGAGTGTATTAGGTGCTAGCTTGTAGAAACTAAGAGCATTGAATGGGAAAGAGAACCATGGTGGTAGAATGAACAAAACCCAAAAGAGTGGAGTTTTCACACAGGCCTCTCAACACGGGCCGTGTTGCAGCACACGGGTGCCCGTGTTGATGCCCTGACTTGGCATTTCCTTTGGCATGTTCTGGTGGTCTCTCAACACGGGCCGTGTTGCAGCACACGGGTGCCCGTGTTGATGCGTCTGTAACCTCCAAATTTCTGATTTTCGCACTTTCTTTGGAACGCGATTGTGTTCCGATTTGGAATTATTTGATAGTGGACGGTTTATGTTTTGGTTGAGTAAGTAACTTGTTTGTATACATTCTACTTGACGTTGAGATTGTTAAATCATATGTATGCATGCATGTACAATAGTTGATGTTCCATTGGTTGGATTTGATGGCATGTGTATGTTAAGATTATTGTGAGTCTTAATTGCATGCATTGGTTATATTGTACATTGCATGGCATGGTTGGTCTTGAAACAGAGACGGTGAAACTGTGGGTTCACACAATTTTATAGACGGTGACCCTATTGTGGGAAAAGACGTAGTGACCTTGATCCGGAAGGGAAATACAGGTGGTGGAACTTTGGGTCCACAACATCTAGACGGTGACCCTATTGTGGGAAAAGACGTAGTGACCTTGATCCGGAAGGGAAATACAGGTGGTGGAACTTTGGGTCCACAACATCTAGACGATGACCCTATTGTGGGAAAAGACGTAGTGACCTTGATCCGGAATGGAAACATAGGTGGTGGAACTTTGGATCCACGAGTCGGTACCCGCATTCGCATACGTTGAGTCGTGTAGTGAGTCTCATGTATATTTGTGCATGTTATGTATGAGTGTTGATGTGTTTTGATTATGTGCCAATATTGTTGTTGTTTGAATTATGGTTATATGCCAAAGATGTGAGTATTTCGGATAATCGGTTTACATGGCTAATGTGTTGGAAATGGGTTCCTTGAGTAAGGATACTACGAGTGATAAAATGAACATGATCATTATGTATTGCGTTATTTATTGCCATTTCATTTACTCAAAATTGCATGTTATATGATTATTAGAATTCTTACCCTTTTGTTGGCCAATGCTTTTGATGGCATTGTGCAGGTACCGAGGACGGTAGCGCGAGGCGCTAGCTAACGGATGCATTGGATTGCAATCTGTTTTATTTTGATTAGGGTCGAGTCGATGCTCTGGTAGTAACACTTGGGGGGGGGGGGATTTATTTAGTGTCGAACTCGATTATTTTGTATTGGGATTATGATGTATATAATCCTTATTCGTGTATATGATGTTTTTTTATATGAGAGACTTGATAACATATGCTCATGTAATTTATGATGGCTTGATGCCTTGGATTATGTTTTGATCCCTCCATAATGGAGATGATGTGAAACTGTGAAACTCCGTTGCGTTTGCACGAGAGGATGAAGTGAATATTTACTGTATGTTTTTTTTGTGTTGGAATACTTATAATTTCAAACATACCCTGTCTGTTTTTCCTTAAAATAATTTGGAATGTGTTTTGTGTTGTGGCATCCCTTCCGTGCAATTTTAATCTTTACCTATTAATTGGGGTATTTAGAAGGGGTGTTACAGGTAGACCGGCTCGCGAGTACAATTTTTAAAATTCATTGTCCGAATAAGTTAATATTGAATTTCATTGATTTAATTTGATTTTTGTCCGAACTAAAAAAATATCTGACTCAAACAATTTGATTTGGTTTGGATTCCTATTTGATTCGGATTTGTCCGAACCAATTAAAACCCCTCATAAATATGAAAGACACACATTTTTCACTTTAAATGAAAGAAGAAATATCATTCTTCTACTTACTTTTTCACTTTCTATTTAATTTAATATTATAAATTATCACCATGTTAATTTCACAAATATTAACTATGTTAGATTCAAATACCTAACTTTTCTCAATAAAATCTAAATATACATAATCATCAAATATTTAGATTTTTTTACAGTAATATTTAGATATATTTTAATATAAAAGTCATTACATTAAACATCAAAATGATTAATATATACATTTGTAAGATGAAAATAATTAAGAAAATATCGGCAAAGCCACGCACACAACACGTCAAGATGGTTTGTTTGGTAGGAATATAATGGTCCCAACCCAACCGACATCATTTTTTGTCATGGTAAGGAAAACCACTTCTTCAACTTTTCGTTGCTACGCGTAAATCAGAGGGTGGTTGCCACGTCACAATATCTTACCCTTTAACACATCACTTACCAAAACCATATAAATACACCACATTTCTACTCAAACTCAATTCCAACACATTTCTCAAGCTCTTCATTACTTTCTACAAACCCCAAACATCAATCACTATAGGTACAATTCATTTTCAATTACATCTAGCTCTATTTAATTCACAGTTTATTTTGTATCTAAAATAATAGAATTTTGAAGAATATAGCTAAATATTCAATTTAAGACATGATGTCTGTTATCAAATTTTCTAGGTTTATGCAAAAAAAATCATTATTTTTTCTCATATGTTTGAATCTTTGAATATGCTCTCAGATCTGTTTTTTTTTATCAAGTTTCTCTTGTTATTATTGTATTATATGCATTCATTTAAACATCAAAATTGGAGAAACTAGAGTACAGAATCAAACTGATTCTGAAAATTCTTGTTACATATTCTAGTTTTAAACAATTCAGTTCAACTTTATACCTGTTTTTTTTAGTTTTATGTCTTAGAATATTGAAATTAACTAGTTTTGTTTTCATTAATACAGATATGGAGGATCCTATTCAAATCAAGATCGAGGATAAAACACTCGGTGTAAAAGAAGAGAAGGTTGAGATAGAAAAAGATGTGGAGACTAAATCAGTAGAGAAAGAGAAGAAACATAATGATGAAGAGAAAAAGAAGGATAAGGAGAAGAAAAAGGAAAAGAAGGAAAAAGATGAGAAAATTGATGTAGAGAATGTTAAGAATAAAGAAGGTGGTGATGAAAAGAAGGACAAGAAGGAGGAAAAGAAAAAGGAAAAGAACGAGAAGGGAAAAGAAGATCAAGACAAGGACGGTGAAGAGAAGAAGAAGGAGAAGAAAAAGGAAAAGAAGGGAAAAGAGGATGGAGACAAGGATGCTGAAGAAAAGAAGGACAAGAAAAAGGACAAGAAAGAGAAAAAGAAGGATAAAAATGAGGAAGAAGAGGGTGAAGTATCTGTAAGGGATATTGATATAGAAGAAACAATGAAGGAATCAGAAAAAGAAGATGACAAGAAAGAAGTTAAGGAGAAGAAAAAGAAAAAAGAAGACAAGGGAGAGAAGAAGAAAAAACCTTCAAAGACCAATGATGTTAGCACACTGAAACAAAAGCTTGAAAAAGTGAATGGAAAACTAGAAGCACTTCTGGAAAAGAAGGCTGATATAGAAAGACAGATTAAAGAAGCTGAAGTTGGAGGTCATGAAATTAATGGGAAGGACAAGGGAGAGGTATAGTATAAAAGTTCAGAATATCATATAATACCATGGAGGGGAGGGTCATATATTGTAATCATATACTATCAAGCATTACGTTTGCACTTCGTGCGGGGTTTTGTTTTGTGTCATAAAGCTGTTTTTTTTTATTTGAGTGAAAAGGGATGTATTTGTACATTTCTTAGTTACTATTGTATGAAACATGTCTATTTATAATTTGGTAGGAGTATGTGTTTTCACTCTATTTGCACTCTTCAATATATGAAACCATAGGACATGCCTTTACCAAGTTAACAAAAAAACAAGGATAATGTGTAATCTCAAGCCTCAACTCAACTTTAGTTTTGATGAAAGACAAACAAGCTAGTGTGATGAAAGACAAACAAGCATTGTGGAAAGAAGGAAAAGAAGTGGAAATCATCTTAAAGCATCATTCACTCAAAGCTTCAAGGAACTTGGCAAGCAATCAAGTATATCAATTCTCAATTAAACTACATTGATTAGAAATGCTCAAAAATGATATACACACTTGCCACATCACTTCAAGTATATTTCAAAAACAATTTTTAAGTTTTTCTCTGCTGTAAATCGATTAACATCTTGTGTAAATCGATTTACACATGCTTTTTCAAAAACTGTTTGCTCCTGCCAGCAATCGATTTACAGGTTGTGTAAATCGATTGATCACAGAACAAACTGATTTTTTAACACTTGTAAATCGATTGACACAACATGCTAATCGATTTACACTTCAAACTTTTTGAAATACTGAACGTTACAAACACGTGCAATCGATTTGCATGTTATGTTAATCGATTTGCACATTGAAAATTTTGAAAAATCTGAAATGTTTTCAAGATATCCTTCACACCTTTTCTCCAATAGTTGCATGATCAAACATTGCATCTTGTCAAGTTTCACAAACAGAAAAGTGTCCTTTTGGAAAGGTATCTTGATTACTATATATTGCAAAATATTTCAAATCATAAACAACACTTCTCTTGCAATAAAATCTGAACTTTGTAAAATATTCAAACTTCATATTTCTTAACTTTTAAGAACAAAGATTTTCTGCACTTTCACACATATAAAGAACAGAAATCTTTGAGCATTATCTAACCATTGTGTTACAGTTTGAATTGCTTACAAGAGAAGAAAGAAGAAACTTCAAAGAAGTCACTCTAAGTGATCAACATCTTTCAAGAAATCATACTTCATAAAAACATACAAAGTGTAACTTATTTCCAGGATTGTTGGAATTAAGTATTAGATTATTTTTTGTTCCTTGTTGTCCATTATTGGAAACAAGAGGTATCTTTTGAGAGGATTGTTCTCATTAGACTTATTGGAAATCCAAGAGGGTGTTCTTGGTTATTTGTTAGGTTCTTTAGTGGATAAGACTAGGAAGAGTCTTGTAAAAGTTCTAACAATATAGTAAAATCTCTTGCGTGTTTGCAAGGGGACTGGACGTACTTCCGGGTTGTGGAAGGAACCAGGATAATTCTCCGTGTCTCTTTACTTTCTGCACTTTACAGTTTTCAAAGCACTATATCAAAACCAGAAAGTATAAAATAAGTCAAAAATCGACCATCACCTAATTCACCCCCCCTCTTAGGCGCAACCTTAATCTTACAATTGGTATCAGAGCAGGTTATAGGTAACCTGCTCCTAGAGATCCAGAATGGCTTCCGCAAATCATCAACCAGTTTTCAGAGATGGTGGTAGTAACAACAAGCCTCCTCTATTTTGTGGTGAATATTTTGACTTTTGGAAAATACGCATGAAGGCGCATTTAGAAGCACAAGGAGAGGAAGTATGGGATGCTGTTGAAAATGGTCCATTTATCCCAATAACGGTAATCAATGGCGTTGGGTCTGCAAAGCCCAAAACTGTATGGGACGACGATGATAAAAAGAAAGTTCTCTATGACAAAAAGGCAATAAACCTTCTTCAAGGTGCTCTCAGTATGGACGAATTTTTTCGTGTCTCAAACTGCAAAACGGCAAAGGAAATTTGGGATACCTTGGTTCAAACTCATGAAGGAACGGCTGAAGTAAAAAGATCAAGGCTAAATACCTTGAGTCAAGAATATGAACTATTTCGAATGCAGCCCGGAGAATCCATTCTTGACTTACAAAAGAGATTTGTGCATTTGACAAATCACTTAATTGCTCTTGGTAAAACCCTGTCAAATGATGAACTCAACTTGAAAATTCTTAGATCATTGACTAGGGAATGGCAACCAAAGGTAACGGCAATCTCGGAAAAGAAGAGTCTCTCCGCAATGACTTCCGCTACATTATTCGGCAAACTTCAAGAATACGAAACGGAACTCGGTAGACTTGAAAAACATGAGAATCTAGAAAAGAAGTCCAAAAACATTGCCTTAAAAATTGATTCAAAAGAAGTGGTAAAAGAAGACAATCCGGAAGAAGATGAAAATTTCATGCTTCTAGTGAAAAGACTTGGAAAGTTTTTTGGCAGAAATGACAAAGGCGGATCTCATGCATATAAGAGAAAGCACTTCAAGAAAAGAGAAGCCTCCACATCAACTCAAGATGTCTCATGTTATGAATGTGGAAAGCAAGGACACATCAAGCCAAACTGTCCAAATCTCCCAAAGAAAAATGGATTCAAAGGAAAGGACTCAAAACAAAAGAAAGCCTACATAGCATGGGAAGATAATGATATGAGCAGTTCATCGGAATCGGAAAGCGACGAATGTGCAAACTTAGCCTTAATGGCATCGCATCACTCCGACAATGAAGAAGAGGTTAGTAATGAATTTAATCTTTTTGATGATGATGTTCAAGGTGCAATTGATGAACTCTTGAAAGAATGCAAAAGTTTATACAAAAAGGTGTCAAAACAAGAAAAAGAACTTCTAAGTTGTCTAGAAAAAATTGACACCATGACTAAAGATTTTGATCTTCAAAAACAGAATTTTATAAAAGAAAAGGAAAACTTTGCATGCTCCAAGTGTGAATCAAATGTCTTTCAAATTGTTCAATTGAAAAGAGTCATTGAACGATATGAAAAAGGACAAATAGGATTGGAAGGATTACTAAGCCAACAACGTTATCCAAATGATAAAAGAGGTCTTGGTTATGTGAATACTAAGAAACCAAGTAACAATCCCACTGTTTTTGTAAAGGCTAGTAATAGTTCCAATCCCAAAAAAGTAGAAAAGAAGCAAGTTGTTCATAATCATCAAAAGAAAAAGGCTAATGTATCTAAAAGAAAACAAATTCCTAGATACAAGAGCAAATTTGTTCCAAACTGTTTTTACTGTGGTATTATTGGACACACACCAAATGCATGCTATATTAGAAATTTCAGTATGGCTAGTGGACATTATGCATGGGTGAAAAAGGGAACTAACTATGAAGGACCCAAGGCAACTTGGGTACCTAACAAGAAATAATTTGTTTTTGTAGGTATGCTTGAAATCCACTTCAAATGTTTGGTATCTTGACAGTGGATGTTCAAAGCATATGACAGGAGATGTACACCAATTTTCATATCTAGTACATAAAGCCAAAGGGTATGTCACCTATGGAGACAACACCAAAGGAAAGATTCTTGGCGTTGGAATAGTTGGCACACCTCCATCCATTCAAATTGAGGATGTTCTCTATGTTGAAGGATTAAAGCACAACCTTCTTAGCATAAGTCAACTTTGCGATAGAGGGTTCAAGATCAAATTCAACAAAGAAGAATGCCTTATTATGGATGAGGCAACCAATGAGGTAAAACTCAAAGGTATAAGATCTAACAATATTTTTGTGATTACTCTAGATGATTTGTCTATGAAGGTACAATGTCTTATGGTAAACAACAATGACGCTTGGTTATGGCATAAGAGGATTGCTCACATTCACATGGAGCACTTGAACAAATTGGTTAAGCATGACTTAGTTATTGGTCTACCAAAGATGAAGTTCATCAAAGACAAATTATGTAGTGCATGCCAAAAGGGCAAACAGACCAAATCAACTTTCAAACTAAAGAATGTGGTTTCAACAACAAGACCACTTCAATTGTTGCACATGGATCTTTTTGGTCCATCTAGAACAAGAAGCTTCGGAGGTAACATTTATGCATTAGTTATTGTAGATGATTTTTCCCGTTTCACTTGGACTTTGTTTTTAGTACACAAGAATGAAGCATTCAAGGCATTCAAGAGATATGCAAAACAAGTTCAAAATGAGAAGTCATCAAAGATAACATCAATCCGAAGTGATCACGGTGGAGAGTTCCAAAACAGTTTATTTGAAGAATTTTGTGAAGAAAATGGGATCTTCCACAATTTTTCAGCACCAAGAACTCCACAACAAAATGGAGTAGTTGAAAGGAAAAATAGGTCTTTGGTGGAACTTGCTAGAACCATGCTAAGTGACTCAAGTTTGCCTAAATATTTTTGGGCGGATGCGGTAAGCACGGCATGTTATGTAAGCAATCGCGTGATCATAAGACCTATTCTAAAGAAAACTCCATATGAGATCTACAAAGGAAGAAAACCAAATATCTCTCACTGATCATAAGACCTATTCTAAAGAAAACTTCATACTTTCTAGCAAAGCTTTTAGAATTTACAATAAAAGAACTTTAACTATAGAAGAATCAATGCATGTTTCTTTTGATGAATCTAACACCTCCAAGGAGGAAGTTGCTATTTGTGATGATGATGATTCTATAGATCTATCTCATGAGATTTCCTGCGGAGATGGCAAAATTGTCAATCCGGAACAAACACATGAACTTTCACATCAAAATGAAAATGATGATGATCTTCCTCAAGAATGGAGAACTCATCGTGATCATCCAATTGACAATATAATTGGAGATATTAGCAAAGGAGTATCTACTCGACTAAATCTTAAGGATGCATGCTTAAATATGGCGTTTGTATCTCAAGTTGAACCTACTAAAGTGGCTCAAGCACTAGAAGATGATCAATGGATCCTTGCCATGCAAGAAGAGTTAAACCAATTCGAGCGGAATGAAGTTTGGGAACTTGT